TGCAGGTTACTACTGTCAGAATGTTGGTTTTGTATAGTTTAAAATGTCTCCCCCTATCCTTGTAGGCAAGTTACTACTGTCAGAATGTTGGTTTTGTATAGTTTAAAATGTCTCCCCCTATCCTTGTAGCAAGTTACTACTGTCAGAATGTTGGTTTTGTATAGTTTAAAATGTCTCTCCTTATCCTTGTAGCAAGTTACTACTGTCAGAATGTTGGTTTTGTATAGTTTAAAATGTCTCCCCCTATCCTTGTAGCAAGTTACTACTGTCAGAATGTTGGTTTTGTATAGTTTAAAATGTCTCCCCCTATCCTTGTACAAGTTACTACTGTCAGAATGTTGGTTTTGTGTAGTTTAAAATGTTTGGCTTGACCAGGTGAATTATTTTATGCATGAAAGTATTTCATATTCTAAATTGAATAATTTCTGAAACCACATTAAATTAGAGTTATGTTGTGATGTTGACTCAGATTCTTCAAATACAAATATTAAATTTTTTATTTCATTGATCTAAAATGAGAAAGTTATCAATGATAGAGTGTGCTGGTACTGGATCTCTAGTGTAATAAACAGCCATCACTGTAGTCAAAGTTACAGATTTCTATTAGGTTGTAAGGTCAGTGACCTCGTATGGAAAGTTAATCCTGCCATAAATGATGTTCAAACCACAGAGCCTGCTTACTTTCACAATCCCTTTATTTTTTCTAAATAAATTTCTTCATAACAGTCTGTCTGCTATTTTGGAAGACAGTAACTGTGCCAGTTAATAAAGCAGTTTACAAACACAGACCTTTGATTTGTTAGGACTGATCTATTAAACGTAAACCCAATACGAAGGATATTTTGTTAACCTTAGACTTTCAGAGAATATTCATGATAATTAACAAAAAATACAAGCTTCTCACTTATATTTATCTAAATAAATATGTGTGTATATATATATTAGTTTTAAAAGCAGTATCTTATTTTTAATAACTATACAAAATCTAATCTTATCTACAGTTTGTATTAAAACTCGTTGAAACTTTCTATACAAAATGATGTACATAATCAATACTCTTAGCTCTTTACCATAGTGTCGTCATTCCACCATTAATAGTGGAAATTTCTAACTTAAAATACTTTAGCAATTGCAAGTACACATTTCAAATTTAAGTACTTTCGGTCGTTAGGTAACGAGATAAATAAACTTGCCATCATTAATTGTAACTAAGGTAGAATGTTGGAGACAAAAGTTACCTGTAATGTACAAACATTGTTCCAGAACTCTTCCAACATTTAAAACATCTTCAAAATCCCATAGATACCAAAACTTTTATGCGAATGAAATTAAAAAAATAGTGAAGATTATGTAAACACTTCACAATCACATAAAACTATCTTATAATGAAGCAATAAACTGTAACTTTCCAAAAACTTAACCTACAAAATATAGGAAAAAAAATCTCTTTTTGAGCTCATGAAATGTATATAAATCCAACATTCTTCTTTATGTATCAAAAAAAAAACAACAAACACATGAAAGAAAACTTTTTTTTTTGAAACCACATCAATAGGTACACAAAGCATGGGCTTCAGATCTAATTACTATGAGAAATCATGGTTTTGATGTTAACATTATCCAATTTGTACAAGAGTAAGAATCTCTTTGGTTTCTAACTAGATTAGCACTGCTAGACAGTCTCGTTCAAATAAATGTTTCCGATTTGAGAGATCAACAAAGAACACTGGATATAAGTAATGGACTATACAACAGCTCGTCATATAGTACCACAAAAATATGTACACATTCTGTCAGTGACTTACTTATAATGTGTACAATATTATGATGTGTACAGAGTGACTTCTTTATAAAGTGTATGCACTTATTATGTACACAGACATTCAGAGTAACTTCTTCGTAAAGTTTATACAATTAAGATGTGTACAGATGTTTAGAGAAACTTTTTTCTTTTTGAAGTTTCCACTATTAGAATTATGATACTGTTTCTGTACTACAGTGAGACAAACTTACTCAGCTTCTTCACACATGCACTGTTTAGGTACAAAGGTCGAAACATTAGAACACATTACAGTGGGACAAACTTACTCAGCTTCTTCACACATGCACTGTTTAGGTACAAACATTAGAACACATTACAGTGAGACAAACTTACTCAGCTTCTTCACACATGCACTGTTTAGGTACAAACATTAGAACACATAAGCTCAGCTCTTGGGCTTTAGAATCTCTATCGTCAAGTTATGTTAAACATAACTGGAGACTGTAATAATAGTTTCTACCTGTAGACTAACATGACTTGTAATTATTATAACACCAATACTCTCACTAGTTATAATCCATTCAGATGCTCAAAATGACACATGTTCTGAATAATGAAGTTTTGACAGGTTGAATTAGATAATTCAAATAATCAAATCAAAAGTTTAGTTACCTGACTTTTTGTGTTTCTCTTGTTTGAAATCATTTCACACAATAATTTGTGAAATGTGCTTCTGCTGTTTGTCTACAACTATGGAACTGAGTAGAGAACTTAAACATACAAGATAAGAAGGGAAAAAAAAGGTTTGTTTCTATAAAATCATTTGAAAGAGTATACAGAAATTAAACTAGTGTGTTATCCTGAAAATTTATAAAAACCACTGTTTGCATACTGTAACATGGAAAAGGAAAGCTTGTGTAGGAAGTAGAAGCTTACTGACATGCAGGATAATCAGTGGCATGTTTTGCCCATACTCTAAAATGTGACCTTTCAAGCACACCTCTTACAAACCTTCAGTGTCTGTGATGTTTAACCAACGTACCACGTCTTACAAACCTTCAGTGTCTGTGATGTTTAATCAATGTACCACGTCATACAAACCTTCAGTGTCTGTGATGTTTAATCAATGTACCACGTCTCATAAATTATAAGACAAACATAAATACATACTGCTTAGGTCAGAAGATGTGAACATGCTCTTTAGTGCACAAAAGTATACACGTGTATTATATGTATCTGGTTTCCATGGAGAGGAACATACATACACACACCCTTGTTACCTAACAGACACATTATAAAAGTTTTGTAAAACCTCATTTTAGGTGAAATAAATAGATTCTGAACTAACTTGCATAAATTATTACTCTCAACTGATTTCCAAGTTAAAACTAGCAGTCCCCAATGTAAAGTGTTAACATACGTGTCCATATTGTAAAGAAGGGGAAGTTTTCAACATCTAACAAAGTGGTTTCATTTAATGTATTGTACAGTCTAAAACCAAGTGATCCGTTGATACAAACGTTCATAAGTTTACCAACAATTAAGGTAATCTAATTACTTTCTAATTGTATTTTTTCATTAAATTATTTCCGTCGTTTCCAAACTGTGTGTTGCAGAAAGTTGCTAGGGATGTTTCACCATATTAAGAACATAAAATATATTGCATTTGGCAGCAAGTGTGTTAGACTATCATCAGTGAATAGTTTTGAAACCACTGAATTAGCTCTTACAGACACCACTAGTTATGTTTAAGCAAGAAACATGCCTGACTTAGGTTTCGCACCTCTTCTATCGTAAGCCATGTAAAACCAAGTACAATCTCGTCATGTTGAACTATTACTATCAATCATAAGCCGCATAAAACCAAACACAATCTCATCATGTTGAACTGTCATTATCTATCTTATGCCACATAAAACCAAGCACAATCTCATCATGTATCTTATGCCACATAAAACCAAGTACAATCTTGTCACGTTGAACTTTCATTATCTATCATAAGCCACATAAAACCAAGCACAATCATGTCACGTTGAACTGTCATTATCTATCTTATGCCACATAAAACCAAGCACAATCATGTCATGTTTAACTGTCATTATCTATCTTATGCCACATAAAACCAAGCACAATCATGTCATG